AGAAACAACCCTGACCATCCTTATGTTGTTTCTTCTGAACATGACCCTTAGCAGCTTCATTATCATTCTTTCTTTTCTTGCCCTTATCCTTAGAGGCATAGGCCAAATGAGCACTTTCAGTCTTATCTTGCTTCAACCTGTCTTCTTCTTGCACACAGTATGAAATGAGCTCATTTAGGTTCCATTTCTCCTTTTGACAGTTATAACTGACCTTAAACTTGCACACAGTATGAAATGAGCTCATTTAGGTTCCATTTCTCCTTTTGACAGTTATAACTGACCTTAAATTGATTGAATTGTGCAGGAAGAGACAACAGAACCAGATGTACCAATAACTTATCACAAAGATCAAGTTTAAGTACCTTAAGCTTTGAAGCAATATGAGACATTTTCATAATGTACTCCCTGATATTTCATTTGCCCTTATATTTCATTGAAATCAAGCGAGCTAAAAGTGTGCTTGTTTCTACCTTATCGTTTTTTCGCAAAACGTTTCTCAATTTCGGCAAGGAAATCTTTAGCCTTAGTAATCCCTTCGGATTCTATGCCCCTGAAGGCTTCCGGAATGCCGCGCTTAATGATCATTAGACTCATGCGATTTGAATGCTCCAATTTCTCATACTCCTTCTTTGCATCAGGAGTGTTATCCGCATTGAGAGGTTGGGGTTATTCAGTTCTTAATGCAAAGTCTAAATCCATGCAGCCAAGAACAATTAAAATGTTCTCTTTCCAAACCTTAAAATTAGTCCCATTGAGCATGGGAATTGAGTTGATGTTAGCAGAAATTGTTGCAGCATATGCATTAGCTGAAATAAACAAAAAATTTGTAACCTTAATTAGTGATCAATAAAATTCAAATAATGATAAATCCCATCTCAAGATATCTGGTACAACATTAATATCAAGTCTTTGGACAGTAATATTAATTGTAAGTGATACATTGTTGCAATGATCAAATACTGACAATAACGCATGTCAAATAATGAAACTATCTTTGGATCGATTCATTATCCACATGTAAACCTTATAATCGTCACGTATTTATCATCACAGATGCGTATGCAATCTAAAAATAAATAATAACCTTCCTTTGGGCCGATTAAATATTTATACGAAAACATACACACAAACATCTAACATCCCTCATGAACAATCTACACAAGAGAGGTTACTTTGGCAACTTCTTGTTTCAATCGATCATTTAGAATGAAAGACAACTTTAATACCTTAGTGTCATATTATTTGAAATAACTAATTGATCCACTACCAAATTTAATTTAAATTAAATAATTTAATTTAAATCAACTGAATTTCCATAGCTTAATTAAGGGCCCATAATGAATTATGACCCACAAATAGGATTTAATTGATAAATTCAATTAATCCTTGTGCCCAAAACGAGCTTAAGGAGCTTATACCTGATAATTAAATACAGGTCCAAATTCTTAATAAATTTCTCAAGTCAAGGCCCAATGTTTAAAAAGGGACACCAGAATGAACGCAAGGCTCATTTTGGAACAAACGCAAGGCTCGTTTTGGAACGAACGCAAGGTTCGTTTGACTGAGCACGAGGCTCGCCGTAGGTTTCGACGAACGTAGATTTCGACGAACGCAGGTTTCGACGAATGCAGGTTTCGACTGTATTGAGTACGAGACTCACTTAAGCACGAACGCGAGGTTCGTCTGAAAATGAACGTGATGTTCAACTTGAGAACGAACGCGAGGTTCGTTTGAAAAATGAACGCAGGGTTCAACTTGAGAACGAACGCGTTTGAAAAACGAACGCGATGTTCGACCTGAGAATGAACGCAATGTTCAACTTGAGCACGAACGCAATGTTCGTCTGAAAACAAACGCGATGTTCGACCTGAGAATGAACGCAATGTTCGACTTGAACGCAATGAACGAATGAACGCAATGTTCGTTTGAACGCAATGAACGAGTGAACGCAATGTTCGTTTGAACGCAATGTTCGTTTGAGAACGAACGCAGCGTCAACGAACGTAGCGTTTGACGAACGCATGTTTCATTAGAGAACGAACGTGGGTTCGTTTGAGAACGAACGCAAGGTTCGTTTGAAGCCTTCAAGCCTCGCCAAAAATTGAGGTAACCACCTCCTTAAATTGAGGTAACCACCTCCTTAATTTCCGCACGTTTTCACGCGCACGAACCCCTTGAGGGTTTAATCTGAAACCGCCGCCGCTGAATCAACTCCGACGAGGAGTTTTGGAGATTGACGACAAATCAAAAAATCCCAAAAAAAAAAAATTATTTTTCTGTCGATTTTTGAACTCAAAACATTTAGATCCAAACCTCAATAATTGAATCAAACACCAAAAGAAATGAACTTTAGAGTTCATAAATGCTACAAATCCAAAAATCGAAAAAAAACCAAACAACATGGAAATTTTACTATTCATCCGAAAATAAAAATCTTTACTGTTCACCCAAAAATATTTTTACTGTTCACCCGAAAATAAAAAATTTCCTGTTCATCCGAAAATGGATCCGAATCAAACACAAATTAAGATCAAAGAACCCTAATTTTAATCTTAATCTCTTAGAACAAATCAATGGTGGCTCTGATACCACTTGTTAGATCTAATAAAAAACTTGAGATCTAAACCATAAAGCCATGATTTAATTCAAAGAGATTAACAAGAATCAAAAGGTGCGGAAGCATATACCTGAATCCATTAAAGAAAACTTGATTAGGGTTTTGATGATCTTCTAACCTTAGGGTTTCTCTCTTATGAATCTCTTTAGATGGGGATAAGAGAATGAGAGTGGTTAACCCTAGATTAGGGACCATAACCCCTTATATATAGGTGTTGTACTTTTGTAATTTGACCCCTCATCAAATTACAATTACAACCTGGTATCTGCACATATAACCCCATGATATATTTAAATACCTATTAACCCAAATTGATTGATCACTTTAAGTGTGTTATCCTTAAAGATAGTAATACACATTGATTAATCATATGTGCCCACAAATAGATTTAATTAGATTTAAATCCAACAGATACGGGTGGTGTTACTCATTTTGGAGAGTCTAGTTAAACGACTGATTTCAATTAGATTACAGGGTGCGCTCTAGCAAGTCTACTAAATCGGGTTCATGATTCAGGAGAATTTTTTGAATATAGTGAGGAAGTCTCTCTTGCGAAAATAAAGAGTGTGTAGAACTGTTATCCGAACCACTATAAAATCTCATATGTTCTCGGTTGGTTGCTTTCGGTGTTTGATTATCGTGAATCACTTTTCTTTTCTATTTTCCGGCTGCATATTATGTGTTTTTGGTTAAAAAAAAAAACTATAGCAATTTTATTCACTCCGAAGGTCGTATCTTAGATCCAGCACGATTTGGAATGGGGCGAATGTGCCAATAAGCTTATGGATGAATGATTTATATACCCGCTGCCTATATCTTCGGATTCAGTCACGCACAGGTGATTTATATACCCACTGCCTATATCTTCGGATTCAGTCACGCGTGAATACAGTTATATAAGTATGCTCAAATCCTTAATTTTTTTTTCCATTCTAAAATGTGAAGATGTTGTAATCCTTCCTATTGCCAATGAACAATTCTTTTATTGCTTGAATATGATTTGCCTAAAGTAAGTTACCAAAATTTACAATTGTTTCTTATAAATATCCAAACACGTATGTGTAATATGACACATGCATGCAGCAATACACTAATTACGAAAACTCTGTGTATAAGACATTATTATTTTGTAAATTACATAAACTTACGGCACTTTTTCATATTATCATCAATTACTTATTAAGGTGTTAAAAGTATTTTTGATACACTTTGTTGCTATTTTTGTTGGCCCAAAATCTGGCCCGTTACCAAAAGGCCCAGTTCCCCTCTCTATTTGTTTCAGCCTATCTCTAAACCTCTCCTCCTATGTTGATGGTACTGAACCCTAAGTTGACAGCCTCCTCTCCATTCCTTTGTTCTGCTTTGCAGCCACTGTGAGTCTCATCTCTCATCCCTGTAGGTCGGCTCCTACCATTCGAAACCCTAGGTTTCTATCCCGTGTCGACTGCCCCCTTCTCTATTTAGGTCGAAGGGCTGGTAGTAGCTCGGGATGAGATTGAGAGAGACGATGAAGAAGACCCTGAGCTTTGTGCTCTCCTCTGCTGTGTGTGATCCATCCTCTCCCTTCCAAAGCTTTGTGCTTTCACCCTTTGTGAGGTGAGTGGAGAGACAGTGGAATAGTTGCTTTCCCCCTTTTGTGTTCTTGGTGGTGCACGAGAGAAGAAGAACAGACTGGTTTGCTAGGCTTCTGAGCCAAACTTGTGACGACGTCGATCCTCAACACACTCATATATATTAGAATAGTTATTAACAACATTTTCTAAATTTGTTTGCGCAAATGTGTGTTGTATCTACACGCATCGCGTGCACCTAAAGTGCTAGTTATAACAAAACAAAGTTCCACTTGGTTTACGATCCTTAAACTACATGTGTTTAGGTGCTGAGTACGTACGTAGTGATTTGGTCGGAGGGCCCTTAGTCAAAGATGGATGAACATATACACGTAAGTATTAAACACCTTGGATTGATTTTGATTGACAATTACGTTTTCCAATAGGGAAAATTTGCAAAATAGACCGTTTTTATAAAGTAATTAGCGAAATAGACCACTTTTGAGAGTAATTAGCAAAATAGACCTCTTTTTGACAAAAGAGGTCGATTTTGAAAAAATGGCTTCAGAAAACATACGGGACTACTAGTCCCGTATGTTTAAAGCTAACTAATCTAATGATTAGTGCACTAATCATTAGATTAGTTAGCTTTAAACATACGGGACTAGTAGTCCCGTATGTTTTCTGAAGCCATTTTTTAAAAATCGACCTCTTTTTGGCCTATTGGCAAAAAAGAGGTCTATTTTGCTAATTACTTTTAAAAGTGGTCTATTTCGCTAATTACTTTATAAAAACGGTCTATTTTACAAATTTTCCCTTTCCAATAATAAAAACCACAAACACCATTTTTCCTCATTTCTTACTCTTTTTAAATAAAACATATAGTACAACACTTTAATTAAACGGCACCAAATCCAAACTCCAACATCAACCCAAGATATATAGTATATCCAATGACAAATCCTCTTCATACATCATCTATTTGTGGAACTCAATCATACAACAATTGGCATAACCGTAAATAACTGTTGATCTGGAGAAGCCCGCTTCTTTGGCCAAGGTGTCGAACTCTTTCTCGGTCCTCTCTTTGCCGCCGGGGAACTGAGTCATCAGGATGACGTCTACGTGGATTTTTTCTTGAATTGCCATAGTCGGCTCCGGCTTGTCCGGAACTATGCTCTGCATTGCGATCACCTTGCCGTCTTCCGGCAAAGCCTTCCAGCAGTTCCTCAGTATCTTGAGGCAGTCTTCATCACTCCACATGTGTAGATTCCACTGCAAAATTTTGGAATTAATGCACATATTATTATATATATGCTACAAGTAGATTATAATGGATAGGGTATATTTATACGGGACAGTTCCGTAGTATCCTGTTTTCCTCGTGCATCCAAAGAACCCCCATTTGTAAATCTTTTAATGGCGATTTATGCCACCTTCATTAATAAAATTTACAGATCTGTACAGATCTGTCTTCCGGATTAAAAAAGTTACAGTAAATTTCACAGAACCCTCGATTGACAGTAAGTTCTATCAGAAAGCACCCTAACAGCTAGCGTTAATTTTGACGTGTTACAAGCAAATCATTTTGTTAATGTTAGGATATTGTCCGTGATACCGTGCAATATCTCCTGTTTGTGTAATTACAAACTCTCATTTGATACTAATATTAGTTTGAGATGATTTAGAATGAGTATAGGTATGAGACATGTACGAGGTGAAATGACAAAAAAATCCCCTCAAACGTTGATTTCAGCATCAGCATCAGAACCATCAATGGTGGATGGTGTGTTGGGAATTTAACGCCTAAATCCCTAATGCAACAGAAACGCAGAATAGAAAAAGTACACCAAGATTTACGAGGTTCGGCAACTGGCTACGTTCTCGGGAGCCACACAGTAAATTTCTTATTAATCAAACAATAAATTACAATTCAAGAGCAGATCTCAAAACTGAGATTTCTCAAAAATGAACACTGTAGCTACAGTGTTAATAATTAAAGGGAATAATCCCTTTCAATTCTCTTTTGAGAATACCCCTTTCAAGAGGAATAAAAAGGCCCTAATTAATTTTTCTCTCTCTCTTCTTAAATCTCCCCTCAAGATTCTCAAATCCCAAGCGCTGGAGAAAGAAGGAAACACAGCTGTGTTTTTGTCCGCCGCCAGAGAAAAATCGGAGGGGAAAAAAGGCTCTCACACACAAGCTAGGGCATCGGGAAAGGGGGCTTTTATAGGCGAATACAGTGGGCTGGCGACAGCCTGTCACCAGCGCACAAGCCCGACGCAAGGGTCGGAGTGCTGAGACGCAGGGTTCGAACCGCTAAAACGCCGAGGTCAAGGGGGGGTTTCGAACACAGAGCTCGAGCTTGTCTGAGCTCCTGAGGCTCGCCTGTACCTCGCCTCCAGCTTCGCCTGCTTCATCCTCGAGCTCGTCGGAGCTCCTCGCCGGCGGAGGTTGGTATCCACCCCCAAAAACTAACAATCTCCCACTTGGAGACCAAACCTTGTCAACAGGCTATCTCATCAAGCTCCTCTCCTGTGTGGCTCCGCCCTCATCATCTATGCATAAAGGCCAACTGAAGTTACGCACAACTCCAGTTTCTGAACAGTCATCGTCTTTGTTAACATATCTGCTGGATTCTTACTTCCTGGAATCTTTTCCAGTTTTAACACGTCATCTTCCAACAGGGATCTGATGAAGTGGTACCAAAGCGCAATATGCTTCGTTCTAGAATGAAATGCTGAATTCTTCACTAAGTGTATCGCACTCTGGCTATCACTGTGCAAAACATTCTTCTCCTGTTTGAATCCCAGCTCTGTCAATAAGCCCTGAAGCCATATCATCTCTTTACTGGCTTCAGTCACTGCAACATACTCAGCTTCTGTAGTGGATAGGGTAACAATCTTCTGTACCTGTGACATCCAACTAACAGCTGTACTTCCGACGGTGAATACATAGCCGGTGGTGCTTCTTCGGTGATCAACTTCACCGCCGAAGTCTGCATCTACGTACCCTTGCACTTCCACCTCTCCCTTACCAAAGTGCAAACACTTCTGTGTGGTGCCTCATAGATATCTCAGAATCCACTTGACCGCTTCCCAATGAGCTTTTCCTGGATTCGACATAAACCGGCTAACCACTCCCACTGCATGGCCAATATCTGGTCTCGTACAGACCATTGCGTACATCAAACTTCCGATAGCTGAGGCGTAAGGAACCTGAGCCATACTCTCTTTCTCTTCTTCTGACTAAGGAGACTGATCCTTCGACAGACGAAAATGGCTGGCCAAGGGTGTGCTCACAGGCTTGGCGTCGCCCATGTTGAATCTTTGCAAAACACGGTTGATGTACTCCGTCTGAGATAACTGTAAGAGACCTCTCTTCTTATCTCTCGTGATTTGCATTCCAATGATCTTCTTCGTTGGACCCAAGTCCTTCATGTCAAACTCCTTTGACAGCTGCTGCTTCAAACTCCTGATATCCTTCATATCTCCGTGAAGAAACGCCGTCTTCACGTCTAACTGCTCGAGATGAAGATCTTCAATTGCTACAATACTCATCACGGTCCTGATAGTATTTAGCTTCACCACGGGAGCGAAAATATCGGTGTAGTCGATTCCTTCCTTCTGCTGGAAACCTTTGACAACTAGCCGGGCTTTATATCTTCTGGAACCATCCTGCTCCTCTTTCACCCGGTACACCCATTTGTTGTGGAGTGCCTTCTTACCCGTGGGCAACTCAGCTAGTTCCCACGTCTGGTTTGATATGAGAGACTTCATCTCATCTTTCATTGCAAGCTCCCACTTGCTCGCATCTCCACACTGACAAGCTTCATCAAAGCTTTCAGGCTCCCCACCATCTGTCAACAACAGATAGTTCATGTATCTCCTGTTGGGTACAGGAGGACGAGAAGATCTTCTTAATATCGGAGCTGGTGCGTCGGGCTCCTGCGCACCATCTTGTCCAACAGGCTCCAACATGCTCTTCTGGCTGAGGACCCTCTGCATTGGGTTCTTCCGAGAGGTTACTCGGGACATCATCTGCATCCACAAATATTGACTTGATCTCTGAGTCATCTGTCTTGTGCATGTCCTTGTACATCACCTTCTCGTTGAATATCACATCTCTGTTGCGGATCACTTTCTTGTTTTCGTTGTCCCAAATGCGGTAGCCGAACTCATCTTCACCATAGCCGATGAAAGTGCATTTCTTTGACTTGGGATCAAGCTTATTCCTGCCTTGATCACTAATATGCACGTAAGCTACACAACCGAAAACTTTAAGATGTGAGAGTTTTACCTCCTTTCCGCACCATACCTCCTCTGGTATTCTGTGCTCCAATGGAACCGATGGACCTCGGTTGATCAAGTAAGCTGCTGTGTTGACCGCTTCTGCCCAGAACTGCTTCGGTAGGCCTGACTGTACTCGAATGCTTCTGGCTCTCTCTGTCAACGTTCGGTTCATCCGCTCAGCTACACCATTTTGCTGAGGCGTGCCGGGCACGGTTCTTTCCATTCTGATCCCGTGCTCATAACAGAACTTCTTGAATCCGGTGTCTTCATATTCACCACCATTATCGGTCCTAAGCTTCTTTATTCTCAGACCGGTCTCATTCTCGACCATAGCTTTCCATCTCCTGAAAGCCTCAAATACTTCTGACTTATGCTTCAGAAAGTAGACCCATACTTTCCGAGAGTGATCATCGATAAAAGTCACGAAGTAGTGTTTTCCACCAATGGACGTGGTGGTTATTGGTCCCCACACATCTGAGTGAACGAGCTCTAGTTTCTCTTTCCTGGGGGTTCTGCCACTTGTCTGAAAGCTGATTCTCCTCTGCTTTCCGAGTATGCATTCTTCACACATATCCATCTCCACTAACTGCAGTCCTAGGAGTTTTCCCTTTGTGTGCATGATTTTCATCCCCTTCTCACTCATATGACCGAGTCTCTGGTGCCACAGCTTTGAAGTTTCATTACCTGCTGCAACTGAGATCAAACAACATGCACCTGCTGTCATATATAGGGTACCAGTCTTCCTGCCTCGGGCAATCGTCATTGCGCCCTTTGAGATCTTCCAATTATCTCTATGGAAGGTCGTGGTATATCCTTCGCCAGCCAACTGGCCTACGGATATTAAGTTCTTTCTCAGGTCTTGAATATGCCTGACATCCTTCAGCTCCCATACTGACCCGTTCAACTTAATTTTCACCACGCCTTTGCCCACAATAGAACATGGTTGATCATCACCAAGATATACGTATCCAAGATTTCCGGGGGTATACTTCTCGAAGAATTCTTTCTGAGAGGTAGCATGGAACGACGCTTCTGAATCTAACACCCAAGATTCCTCCTTGCTCCCCAAAGAGCATATCAATGCGTCGTCTCCTCCTGAGGTGGAGGTGGCATTCACCTCTGCCTTCGACTCCTTCTCCTTCTGAGCACTCTTGCACTGATTCTTGTAATGCCCGGTCTTTCCACAATTCCAACACTCAATAGCCTTCGAGTTGTTGCTTGGATTCCTTGACTTGGACCTCCTGTCCTTTGATCTACCTCTGAAGTTTGATTTTCCTCGTCCGTTTCCTCTGATTGAATTTCTACCTCTTGACTCTGTATGCAATACTGAAGAGATTGTAGCTTCACCCGTCTCTCTCCGTCGGATCTCCTCACTGAGAACCAAATCATGAACGTCGTCGAACTTCAACTTTTTGTTTCCCGACGAGCTACTCACAGCTGTGACTGTAGCGTTCCAACTCTCTGGTAGGGAAGACAAAAGTATCAACGCCCGAACTTCCTCATCAAACTCGATTCCAGCTGAACTCAATTGGGTTGTAACCGTATTAAGTTCATTGAGGTGTTGTGCTTCTGACGCGCCTTCCGCCATTTTCAGATTGAATAACCGCCGCATCAAATGAACTTTGTTCACGGTTGATGGCTTCTCATACATGTTTGAGAGAGCTGTCATAAGACCCGCCGTGGTCTTCTCCTTCGCTATATGTTGAACACAACATTGCGAGTCAACGTCAATCTGATAACTTCGAGGGTTTGTCTATCTAGAAGGTTCCACTCGTCTGCCTTTATAGAATCCGGCTTCTTCCCCGATAGTAGTTGATACAGATTTTTCTGATACAGATAATCCTCTATCTGCATTTTCCAGAATCCGAAATCTGTTCCATCAAATTTCTCAAGTCTCAGTTTTCCTTCATCTGCTGCCATGGCTCCCACTTGAATCTCACTTCCTCTAGATCGTTTCACGCTCTGATACCAGTTGTTGGGAATTTAACGTTTAAATCCCTAATACAACAGAAACACAGAATAGAAAAAGCACACCAAGATTTACGAGGTTCGACAACTGCCTACGTCCTCGGGAGCCACACAGTAAATTTCTTATTAATCAAACAATAAATTACAATTCAAGAGCAGATCTCAAAACTGAGATTTCTCAAAAATGAACACTGTAGCTACAGTGTTAATAATTAAAGGGAATAATCCCTTTCAATTCTCTTTTTTCTCAAAAATGAACACTGTAGCTACAGTGTTAATAATTAAAGGGAATAATCCCTTTCAATTCTCTTTTTAGAATACCCCTTTCAAGGGGAATAAAAAGGCCCTAATTAATTTCTCTCTCTCTCTCTTCTTAAATCTCCCCTCAAGATTCTCAAATCCCAAGCGCTGGAGAAAGAAGGAAACGCAGCTGCGTTTTTGTCCGCCGCCAGAGAAAAATCGGAGGGGGAAAAAAGGCTCTCACACACAAGCTAGGGCATCGGGAAAGGGGGCTTTTATAGGCGAATACAGTAAGCTGGCGACAGCCTGTCACCAGCGCACAAGCCCGACGCAAGGGTCGGAGTGCTGAGACGCAGGGTTCGAACCGCTAAAACGCCGAGGTCAAGGGGGGGCGTTCGAACGTAGAGCTCGAGCTTGTCTGAGCTCCCGAGGCTCGCCTGAACCTCGCCTCCAGCTTCGCCTGCTTCATCCTCGAGCTCGTCGGAGCTCCTCGCTGGCGGAGGTTGGTATCCACCCCAAAAAACTAACATGGTGACCATTGATGGTTCAGGACTCCATCAATGGTGTAAAAGTTTAAAGACATCAAAATCATCAATGATGCTCACCATCAATGGTCTCTCAACACCAATGGTTGTCACGAGGCACCATTGATGGTAAAGTCGACTTAAATATTTTTTTCATGATTCAATCACAACCATTCATGATTTATATAATCTTTAACCTCTACCATGTTTCATCTATCTCTTTCCTAATCTAATTTTTTAATATTGTGAGATCAACAAGTGATTTTTTTATGTGGAGCCTTGTCAAACTCTTACTCATCACACACAACATCTTTGTATTGTTTTTCAGCAAGGAGAGTTACTCTTGGATTGATCATCATCATCATTCTTCATCAGACTTTGCTTGTATCATTCGGAGGATGGTTGTTTTATCAAAAGGGTTGTAAGATCGTTTTTGAGTTATGAACTTACTTGCTATTTGATTTGTATTTCTTTGAGCTTCATTTATAGTATATTAAAGCTAGTTGAATTGAGGTTTGGGACTAACTAGGGCTAGGAATTACTCATTGCGAAGAGTTAGGTTAGACGACTAATTTGTAGGGTATTAGTCTTGAAAGTCTAATGAATTAATTATGATTCGAATGAACTCTCTTCATAGTGAGGAAGCTCTTAGTGAGAAGTAAGAGTGGACATATGATTGTTTATCTGTAACCACTATAAAATCTTATATGTGCTTGGTTGATTATTTTTGGTACTATTTGTATTGCTTTATATTAATTGTCTATCACTTTTATTTGCTACTTTCCGCAGCATATTCTGTGTTTAAGTGAAAAATAGTAGCAATTCTATTCACCATTCCTCTAGACTTGCATTTCAGTCTTGCATTTCAGATCCAACAGCTAAGAGACTAAATTCTTCTACTCTTGAAACACCCCAAAGTGTTATAGCTTTTGTAATATATAACTTTTTTCAAAATTTATTTTATATAAAATGAGTAAAGGCACCTCACCTTCATTAAGATGCCATCTCCACTCGGAACACTGTCAAACATATCCCCACTAACGTGCTCCACTCCTGTATCATCAAAATCACTTCTTAATTAAAAATGTTAAAACCCATGCTCAAAATTAAACGAAAACCAAATTATGACTACTCAATACATTCAAGTCCATCACTCAAAATGAAAACAATAAATCAAATCCAAATTAACGTTAGCTCAAATAGGGAATGTTAGTAGTGCTTGTATTAACTTATATATACCTCTATATATCTTTGTGTATGAGTATGTGTGAATAAAGAAAATTATATTAGGCGGGAACTCACTTTTCTATATGATTTTGCAAACAAACAAATAACAACGTTCATCAGGTAAGTGTAATGGAAAGAAATATACCTTATTATTATTACATTTTGTGACATAATTTTGCTAAATGGAATACTTGTTAGTATCCGATACTCATACCAGGAATTTGTTCAGCCTCAGAAATGACATGAGGGAGATCAAAGTTAATCCCCTTTATGTGGGGATGCTTCTTGAGGATCATGTTGAGAGTTCCTCCGACACCTCCACCAACATCGACGAGCACCTTTATGTTGTCGAAACCCTTGTAGGTCTCGAGAATTTTCTTGACGACTATGGTGGAGTGGCTCTTCATCCCCTCGTTGAACACTTGATTGAACCTTGGGTCCGTTCCTAGGTACTCGAACAGGTCCATGCCGTATGTTTTGTTGAATGGGATGCCTCCGTTCAAGACCGCATCTTTCAAATGGTACCTATCACAGAAACACGATTAATTGTTAACAAATTAGTCAAGCCAAAAAGAGAGCCGTTTCTACCATTCAATTGGTGGCTAGCAAAGTCTTCCTACTAGCTAATAAACTAATTACTTTATATATGAACCAATTATCAGATACAAATCGTACCAAAGCACTTCTGAACAAGGGGGTAAGCGAAGTCCCCAAACTGTCCCAATACCTTAAGTGCGCTTGTAAGATTTGTACTCCCAGTTATCTATATGTATTCTCAATCGCAGTTGAGAGGAACGTACGTAGGATGCGATAAGGAACCGCAATGAGGCTCAATCGCCGGGGACGGAGAACATTAGTAAATTAGATATTTGTGGAACGCAACCGAGTTCTATCTAGTGATCCGATTTACAATTCAAATAAGTTCAATTTTTAAAGAGCGGAATTTTTCTAGAAAATAATAACAAGAAAAGCGTGAAATATAAGCCAGAAAAAATATGCATATCTTAATTGCAACATGGTTTTCAACCAATAACATAAATAGTAAATAAAATGTAGCGAGTCATCATTCGGTTAGTTCGATCAGATTAATCAGTTTAAACTGATTAGTGCTCGCCCTTGTTGGAGAAAATAAGGAAGGATTAACTCTTCTTAACCCATTACTAAGGTACCGTTTGGCAAAGGATTAAGTGAGGGGTTAAGGAGACTTAACCCCTTCTTAACCTGCCAAACACAACAAATCTATATGGCCCCGTTTGGCAAAGGGTTAAGGAGGAGGGATTAAAGAGAAGGGTTAACTTAGTTAATCCATCGTGAAGGGTTAAAAAAATCCTAAACCCGTTTGGATACGATAGTTAAGACAAGGGGTTAAGTCTTTTGTGTTTGGCAAATGAAGAGGGGTTAAGGAGATTAATCTCATTATTTTTTAAAAAAAATACCACTTTCATCCTTATTGAAGATTTATAAAAAATTACCTAATCAAAAACGAAAAAACTAGTGAATCCCTTACCCGTTCTCAATGCTTTCCAAGTCAGAATCCCTCACAACCTTCATCATTTGCTTCTCGCAAGATGCAGTAGTCTCAAGAAACTGCTTCTGATCTCAGACAAATCTGTCATCTCCAGCAATGAGTTAGTGAATCTAATACCACTGAGCGGGTTTTTGATCTCTTGACAAATGTAAGCGAGCTCTTTCATTCTTGCAAAACATTTCTTTTCCTGCTGCCTCTGGATTTCAAGAGCCCGCTGTAGTTCAGAACTAGCTATTTGTAGGAAACAAAATGCTCCAATTATATGTCCATCAATTTTAGTCCTTGCATTTGCCGTCAATAATGCCTATACAAATTTGCCATTCTTATCAAAGAATGCAAATGGATACTTGTCTGTCTCCTGACCCTCGATTGCATTGTGTATTCCACTCTGAGCAACATGTGTTCTCATCCGAAGCAAATATTGGGGGAATCAAAGGGTTGGGACTGTGGAGCAACTAAGTTTTCTTTTTTAAAACATAATGAAAGAAGTCTTAGAAGCACAATACCTCTTAAGGCTCGGCTCAGAAGCTTTTCAACAACATCTCTAGACTCCCCAAAGACGAGATCTTGAACTAATGATTTCCCCATGGCTTCATCAACAGACAATCCAGTTAGCTCAGCAACTTTAGCATTCCACCCATTTATTTTCCCATCGGAATCAACAGCAAAGATCGGTATTGTGGCTGTCTCAATCAACCTCACCATCTCCCTTGCAACTGAGCTCAACTCATCGATCCCTTGCAACCCCAACTCTCCAAGCTGCCCACCGATAATAGCCTTGGAATTGCTTGTGCCCTCCACTGCATCCCTGAAAGGACGTCGGTGCCGAGGGTGAGAGGGTTGGATCTCTTGTTGTCGTCGAGGACGAGGACGGATTGGGGGACGAGGTCGAGGAGGTCGGGGGAGTTCTCAGAGAAGGCGAGGAGGAGGAGGGAGGATCCGTCGATGGCGAGGGTGCAGCTGAAGGGCTGGATGTGACCAACGCACTGAATTGGGGGAGGTAGGCGGTGATCTGGTGCTCGTCGGCGGCGGGGGCGGAGGAGGAGTGGGCGTGGAGGGAGTGGCAGTAGTCGAAGGACTTGCCGGAGGACTGCTTCTACTCGAACGCGGCGTGGAGGTAGCCAAATTTCCGCTGCCAAGATCTAGAAAAAATTCCTCCGCCTACCCTTGCGAGAGAAGAGGGAATAAGCCTTGTTCCGCCGATCTCAGAGGAATTGTTAACCCTTCAATTCACGGGATAAAGGAGTTTTATCCCTCACGTGCGGGTTAGTTAATCATGGGGCTTTTTTTTCTGTTTGGCAGGATAACGAAGGGATAAACCCTCGTAACCCTTCATTTAACCCATTGCCAAACACAGCCTATAAGGGTTAAAGTGAGTTAACCCTCCATAATTTGCCAAACATAAAAAATATAGAAGTGTTAAGTTAACCCCTCTAGAGGGGTTAAAATGAGTTAACCCCTCAAAATGAGGGGTTTACTAATACTCCTATTTAGATGGAATAAGAGTTAACCCTTCTAATTATAAAAAAATAGTCAAAATCATTGTTATTCCCAAACACTAAAACTGATCATAAAGACTAAAATAAAACTTATTTAACGGGTTAATAATTTAGTCCTTCGGATTATCAAATGGGCTAAGTACATTAATCCTTCTCTTTAACCCCACTTCATTAACCATTTGCCAAACGGGGCCTAAAGGACTAGCTAGATCCTAGTGCGTATATAATGATGAAATGGCTAAATATTAGAACCCCCCTAACTTTGGACGATCACCAGAAAAAACCCCCTTAACATTTAAAATATCGGAAAAACTCCTTCAAGTATTGGCATTATCACAATCCCCCCTCTAACCTTTAGATTTTATCAGAAAAACCCCTTTAGTTTTGAGATTTTATTAAAGAACTCCCTTAAATTAGGGAGAATGTTCGATAAAATCTTAAAGTTAAGGAGGTTTTCTGGTAACTCCTAAACTTAAGGGGGGTTTTCTAATATTTTCAAAGTTAAGGGGGGTTTTCTGATAATCATAAAAAGTTGAGGGTGGTTTTATGATCGATATTTAACCTAATTAAGAAACTAACCGAGAGAGAAATATACATACCAGCTCTCGATGAAGACCCTGTCCTGGTTCAGAGCCAAAGCCGCCATAGAAACCCCATCCTCATTCTTCGTCAAGTACTTCACCACTGGCGCAGCTCCATACTTCCTCTCCACCGTCCCATCATCCCTCGTCTCGACGGTGCAAGTCAACACACTGTAACTCGCCAGCAGCCTCATCATCCTGTCAAGCATCGACGCGGCCTGCGGGTTTTCAGTCGGCAGCTGAGCAGCGATTTCCACAGGGGACAAGGAAGCGCCGGGGCCGGCCTTGGCGATGATCTCGAAGATGCCTAGATCAATGGCGGATGTTACCGTCATGGGAAGGATGGAGGAGGAGACCAGTTGATGGGCGTAGATGCATGCCTCCTCGTCGGTGGTGATTTGGGGAGCTGCGGTCGTCCAATTTTGGGTTGAACCCATTTTTGCTTGACTACAGACAGAGGAAAGGAGAGGGAATAGAATATCGTTTGAGAAGCTAGTACCATGAGGGGTTTATATAATTAAGGGTTGAGGGAAAATTTCCTTCTACCCCCTGAAGACGATTAATTAATGATAACCCCACTAGAATTTGAAATTCATTAGCTAGGCCCTACACCTTACGAATTTTAAATATTCTTGTTGAGCTGTAGCTTTATTAAACAATAATTAGTCAATAATGATAACCCCACTAGAATTTGAAATTCATTAGCTAGGCCCTACACCTTACGAATTTTAAATAGAAAAATTCCTCAATGACCCAAAATATGGGACCAATAGGAGGGACAAGTGAGGTGTCCTCCTCCTATTGGATAATGAGTTGGACATCATTAATGATGGCCAACTCATTATTCAATAAGAAGGAGACACCTCACTTGTCCCCCTTATTGGTCCCATATTTTGGGTCCCTGTAGCAAACTTTTAAAATATTCTTGCTGAGCTGTAGCTTAATGAACAATCAGTTGGATATAGTTTTTTTAATCAAATTTCACATGGGCTGTTGCAGAGCCGCCCATGTTTTTATTAATTAAATAATATGGTGGGTCACACCGAAGAAAAATTAGGACATGGACCTCACTGCATAGTAAAATAATAATATTTTATTTATGCATAGTATTTTCCCAAACGCTATAAATAGCCCCCAAATCCTTAAGGAAAATAAATTCTAAAAACAAAAATCAATATATACAGATATATATTGTAAAATAGCTGGTGCTAGTAGAAACATTGTCTGGACTGAGAAGGTCTTATAGATCGAGGAGATCGTTGCCTTAATCGAGAAGGTCTTATAGATCGAGAAGATCGTTGCCTTAACCGAGAGGTCCTATAGATCGAGGAGATCTTGACAGTACTGGGTCGGTGCACACCAGAGTACTATACTGCTGTTCCTAGAAGCAATTTGGCCTTGGGATCATTGCACTGGAGTAGGCCAAATATTACTTTAAGCACAACGTTTTACAAACGCACAACAGCTGAGTTAAAAAATTTTAAATTACTGCACTTCAGTTTTCTTTTTAGTTTTTGCTGCTTTATATCTGTATTATTCCAGATTTAATTACAGGCGCCAATAATCTTAAAGAAATATTCTGATCTATCATGGATCCTACAAGGACTCTTGGAGTGGACTGTCTTAAGTTAGAGAACTTTGACGATTTCAACTTCAACGCATCGCGTCGGAAAGTGATATTCAAGATGCAACTCTTGAAAATCTACTATGTGGTATCTGAGGTGAAACCCGACTTTGAAGAAGATTCTAAGTCTGAAGCCTCTTAGGCTAGAGATGATCACTTCTGCAGGAGTTATCTCCTTAACTGTCTGGCCGATCATCTAGCAGATGCTTACACCAACAAGTCCTCTACAAAGAAAATCCGGAATGCTCTGGAGGATCAATACAAGGATGAGGAGAAGCTGTCCAAATCTCACATCATCGATAAGTTTCTAGATTTTAAGTTCGAAGACGATACTGAGGTTTTGTCTCAAGTCAAAGAGCTTGAAAAGCTTGTTATGAAGCTGAAAGATAAAAAGATCAGTCTTTGTCAAACCTTCATTTCTGGTGTAATTGTCAACAAGCTTCCTCCATCTTGAATGTCATTCTCCATTAATATTCGAAGAAGAAAAAGACAGGTGACTCTGTCTGATTTGAAAAGATTCATTTGGATCGAGGATGAGACTCGGACTCGCACAAAGAATGAGCTCATCGTTAAGCAGAAGGCGTCTGCTAACATGGTGACTGCTAACTCTGAGAAGGGTAATAATTTATCTTTCAACAGGAAAAAGAAGTTCTTTAACAAAAAGAAGAACCAGAATCCAAAGAACCTGAACGTTCAAAAGAAGGAGTTCAAGAAGAGCGGCAAATGCTTCAATTATGGGAAGCAAGGACATTTTGCCAATGACTGTAAAGCACCAAAGAAAGAAACTACACGCAATGTCAATCAAGTTATTGATTGTGTAGCTACGACCTTCCAGTAACAAATCGTAACAGCAATATCTCTGATTGGTGGTTAAATATAGGTGCTACTTGTCATGTTTGCTCCAATAGAGATTTGTTCTCTTTTTATGTTGCTGCTAAAGAGAACGTATCAATGAATGATCGTTCTGTGGTTCCTATTCTTGGAACTGGGACTGTGGTGTTGACTTTCTCTTCAGGAAAGACTCTCACATTGAAAGATGTAAAACATATTCCCTCAATTGCTAAAGCCTTAGTCTCTGGAAGCCTGCTATGTGATGCATGTATGAGGCTGGATTTCCAAGGAGGTAAGGCTGTATTATCATTTAAGAAAATGTATTTTGGCAATGCATATCGTACTGATGGCATGTATAAGATCAGTACTATTGCACCCAACTTGGTTATAAATGAAGTATCATCTTCTGCTTACTCGCTTGTATTATGCATAATAGGCTAGGACATGTAAATTATAGAAAATTGTCTAGAATGAAAAAGTTAGGATTACTTCCAAAATGTGGCGGTAACAAACCTGAGAAATATGAAGTTTGCGCGCAAGCAAAACTGACGAGGAAGCCATTTTTAAGTGTCACGAGGAGCACCAACCTGTTGGATCTGATTCATTCAGATACCTGTGACTTCAAGAGCTTCGTCACTCGTGGCGGCAAGAAGTACTTCATCACCTTCATTGGCGACCATTCTCGCTTCTGCCATGTTTACCTGCTAAAATCTAAAGATGAAGCCTTCAGCAAGTTTGTCGAGTTTCGGACTCGAGTGGAGAAGCATCTTGGACTGCAGGTGAAAAGACTCAGAAGCGACAGAGGAGGAGAGTACCGATCTAAGGAGTCGGAAGCATACTTCAAGGAGCATGGAATCATTGCTAAAACTACTACTTCGTATTCTCCACAATCTAGTAGGATTACAGAAAGAAAGAACCGCACATTGACCGAGATGGTGAATTCGATGCTAATTACATCTGGTTTACCTACTTGCTATTAGGAAGAGGCTTTGCTGATGGCAAACTGGATTCTAAACAGAGTACCCTACTCCAAAACTAATAATACTCCTAATCAGTTATAGTTGGGATATCCAGATTCTTTGGATAATATCAAAGTGTGGGGATGTCTCGCATATGTTCGAATTCCAGATATCAGAAGGCCTAAGCTCGGACCAAAAGCTAACAAATGTGTGTTTCTTAGCTTCACTAAAGATGACAATGCTTGTAGGTTCCTAGACCTTGGAACCAACTCTATCAATGAAGCTTGAGATGCAGAATTCTTTGAGGATAAGTTTATAAAAGATAAAGGCTTATTGCTCAAAGATATAGCAGAGAATGCTAGTACGTCAAATGCACAAGAGGATCCAGTTTCGCCAGAAATTGAAAGTTCCAATGATGAAGAAGTTGCTGAAATATCATCCAAGCGTGTCAGGAGACAGAAAGATTTTGGAGATGACTTCATCACCTATAATATAGAAGGAGACCCACAGACTTTTCATGAAGCAATGCAGTCAACAGACGCACTTCTGTGGAAAGAATCTATAGAGGACGAGATGGATTCATTGATCTAAAAACATACTTGGGAGCTGGTGAATATACCTGAAGGTGCAAGGCTATCACTTGCAAGTGGATCTTCAAGAAGAAGGTTCATCCTGATGGTACTATTGAAAAGTACAAAGCAAGACTGGTGGCGAAAGGATTCTCTCAGAAAGAAGGTATAGACTTCTTTGATATATATGCACCTGTTTGTAGGATCACTACCATCAGAGTGCTTATTGCATGGGCAGTGATTAAAAGGTTCGTCAAACATCAGATGGATATGAAGACTGCCTTTCTCAAAGGAGATCTCATAGAAAAAATCTACATGGAGAAACCAGAAGGACTTGAAGCTCCTGCTGGTAAGGTTTATAAACTTGTTAAGTCTTTATATAGACTTAAGCAGGTACCAAAACTCTGGCATGAGAAGTTCGATGGGGTTGTTCGTAACAATGGGTATCAAGTCAGTGAATCTGACAAGTGCCTATACACCAAGGTAGCTGAAGGAAAGGTGGTGGTCATCTGCCTCTATGTGGATGATATGCTCATCATTAGGAGTGATTTGGAGATAGTAATATCTATCAAGAAATTTCTTTCAGCACAGTTCAGCATGAAGGACCTTGGAACTACGGAGGTGATTCTCATAATCAAAATTATATACTCTGAAGAGAGTATTAGATTGTCCCAATCTCATTATGTCGAGAGCATGCTAAGAAAATATAGCTACAATGACTTGCCAGAACTATCAGTATCATACGATTATAACAAGAAGCTTCGACCAAACACTAGAGGACCAGTAGAGTAACTGAGGTACTCAAAGATCATTGGGAGTCTAATGTACGCGATGAGTGCACAAAGCCAGACATTGCATTCGCTGTAGGAATGCTTAGTAGGTTCATAAGTAATCCTAGAAAGTTTCATTAGGATGCTGTCTAGAGATAGATGAGATACTTGAAACGAACTACAGGTCTGGACCTATTCTACACTGGATATCTGGCTGTAATTGAAGGCTATTCAGATGCGAACTAGTGCTCAGAACCAGATAAGTGCAGATCTACTAGAGGATTTATCTTCACTATGGGTGGAGCTGTCATCTCGTAGAAGTCTAAGAAGCAGACCATGATTGCACAGTCATCGATGGAATCTGAGTTCTTCGCACTCTGTGCTGCAGAAGATGAAGCTGAATGGCTTAGTTGTTTTCTCCGAGACATTCCATTGACAGAATTGCAAGGCGCAATTACTATCTATTATGATAATCAAGCTGCGAGTGTTGTGGTAGCAAACTCGATGTTCAATGGAAAGAAGCGAACTATTCGTCTGAAGCATGGCTATTTGAGAGAGCTCATTTGTTAATGAGTCATCTCTGTGATTGACGTCTGGTCTTCAGAGAATATGGTTGATCCTTTGACTAAGCGTCTGAAAAAGGACATAGTTGAAAGGATGCTTGCTGGAATGGGTCTGAAAGTTTTGTAAGTCTTACAAATACTTATCATTTATATCAAGTTTT